CTAAATGCATCTATTGTGGGATATTCATATCAAATGTTATTATATTATTAATGTAGACATGTATTAAAGGAGTAATATAATATAATAAAATATATTTTTGTGATTAAGCTGTAACATTTGTGCATTTATACTAAATGTATTTAGACTACTGTTTTCATAGAAATACTTAGAAACCAGATACATTTTTACCATGGTATTATTGAGGTGCTATATGTGTGGTTTTAACTCTGGTTATCATGATCTAAATGTATGCTACAATGGAAGACCAATGGTTAATTTTAATAAAACTCAAAACAGTCAGAATAAATACATTTCACCACATAAAAATGAGGTTGTTATATTTTTTACAGATGTTTACTGTTTTTGATAATGAACATAAATTTACATCTGCATCCTAACTCAAGCTACTTCTACTGTCAACTCAAGCTACTGTCAAATGTGCATTTCTAAGAGACAAAAAAATTATAATAAATAAATATTATTAATATTGCAGCCTGCACTACAAACTGTGCTGAAGATACACATAATCAAAGTCAGGAACACAAACCTGTTTCAGGATTTGAAACAATATCACTTATTAGGTCATGCAGATACTAAGAAATTAATTTATTTTGTTAAGGAAAAATGACTGGAAAAGTGTAAAGAATTCAAAAGCGTGACGTGTTTGTCATGTTATGACCATAAAGAGTAGTTTAAAACCAAAATTAACGGTCTGGCTTCTACAACTTTCACTTAGGAGCAAAAATCTGCCTTTAAACTTGAAAGAAATAAGCATTTGAAATTTATCGTGATAATTATCGATATCAACTGATATAATTTTTTTTATCGTGATAATATTTTTGACCATATCACCCAGCCCCAGAAGCAGTACTGCTATTACAATTTCCATCCCTAGCGATGCACCACAATTACGTACGTATTTTAGGCGTATCACAATAGTGTATCTAAGGGTGCTTTCACACCTGTAGATCGATTGCTTTGTTCCGAAACAGGGATTAAAATTATTACAATGTTGCTTTTTATTCTTGGTGTGGTTCGCTTTCATACGGCAATGTTTCTAAACGGACCAGATTTGTTAATACAAGTCACGCACGAGTAAACTGTCCTCTCATTGGTCAAAGTTCCACGGTTTATTTTCCGGGATTCCACTTAGCTGTCACGCATGTCATCCGTCAGGATGGAACGATAACAGCTTTGCGGACTCATTGTTTTTTTTGTAGCTGTCGTTATATTAATTTATTACTTTGAGCAGGAGTCCAGGATTGATCGGGAAAACATTTTTTAAATGCACCTACTACGAAAAAGAGCAATAAGACGGCATTATAAAATGAAAAAGTGCGCTTTGATTTTGAATGGCGAAGACGTGCTGGCCCACAGACATTCACAGGTTCATTTTGAGGTATTAGCAAAACAACAAAGCTAATGCTTTTCACGAATCTTACGTAATTACCCCATTATACATTGTGATATAGTCTGGTTCGTTGGTCTGTTAGATCGGATTGCTTTCTCACTACAACCGAACCGCTCCAGAGTTTGTTTTCAATCGAGCCGAGACCACCTCATTCAGGCGATCTCGGACCGATTGTTTTGGCGCGGATCCGAGCGCGATTGCCGTGTTCACATATGCCCAAAC